CAATAAAGCGTATTAAACCAAGGCCGTGTCTTTTTGCTTTAGCCGCAGTATAGTATTCATCTGACATAAGGTCAGGCTCACCTTTATCATTAGAAGGAACTGGAACATTCACTTTCCAGCCTTTTTCGAAATCTTCTTGGCATCTATTTAGTAGATACTTCCTGAATAATGTACCTCCTTGAACAGGTTTACCCTCGGAGTTTTTAACATTCTCATCCACTATTTCAACATCAATTCTTTCCATCATTTTACGACAAAGCTGTGCATACATTTGACTAAAGTTTGGTTCATCACAAGATTTCTCAAAGGTAAGTCGAATAACCTCTTTAAGTATACGACCATCTCTTTCATATTTAGATTTATTTGCATAATCAATAATTTGATCCGATATACTATCGAATTTTTCTAATGTCAATTTGTTCAGAAGAGCTTTCACTTTACGTTGAACCACTTCCATTGGTATAAGGTCGTCTGATCCTCTAGACATATTATTTATCATGCCAGGAACCCACCGGCCTTCTGTAGGCTCAAGAGGTGTCACTGCGTCTTGTCCCCCAGCTTGAGTTAGCTGATGTCCGACTCGGCTATTACGTTTACTAGTATCACGTCTACTACCTCGTCCTGGGCTTGGAGGACTAGGACCTACTCCCATTGACGAGGGCGCGGGCAATAAAGTGCTTCCACTTCCAGTACGAGGGCCAAGCGTAGTTGATCTTCCAAAACTACTTGAACTTAAACTTGTCCTACCAGAAGTTGTAGCAGTTTGCATCATAAATCGGTCTTCATTGCTTTTTGGTGGAGACTTAAAGTCACCCATTTGTTGAAATTGCGATGCCTGGCTGGGACTGCTTTTAGAATGTTGTGAAGGTGGGCGTGAGCCTAAACGTGAAGTACCGCTTCGTGCACCTTTTTTGTCATCTTTGGGTTCATCCATACCAATAGCGTCAAGTGCGGGTAAGTTTTCTGGTTTTTCTTTACAAACATTCATGAATTGCATTAAAAAAGTGCGATCATATTTATATTTTCCAGGAACAGCATTGGCGTTCAAATTAGGATTAGGTGATTTTATATTTGGTGGATATTGTACAGAATTTAAATCATCAATTATGCGAGCACTGCTAAGTGGACCAGCAGGTGCAGAGGTCGTGCGAGATAAATCCAATGGTCCAGGTCGGTGTCCTTTGCCAAATTTTTTATCTTCTTTTTTTGGATCTTTTTTATCTTCCAATTCTGCTTCCGTTTTTTTTTCAGTTTCTGCCTTAATTTCTTCTTTTATCTTTTCAACCTCCTCTTGTTCGTTGTGTTCTTGTTCCTCGCATTCTTCCTTTTCACGATCCTCTCTCTCTCGTTTTATACGTTCTTGCTCTTCTCGCTCTTTTTCCTCCCGCTCTTTTTCTTCCCGTTCTTTTTCTTCTCGCTCTCTTTCTTTTCGCTCTTTTTCTTCCCGTTCTTTTTCTTCTCGCTCTTTTTCTTCTTTCTTTTTCTTTTCAATTTCTTCTCGTTCTTTACGTTCCTTTTCCTCACGCTCTTTTCTTTCTCGTTCCTCTTGTTCTTTACGCTCTTTCTCTTCACGTTCTTTACGTTCTCTCTCCTCACGTTCTTTACGCTCTCTCTCCTCACGCTCTTTACGTTCTTTTTCCTCACGCTCTTTGCGCTCCTTTTCCTCACGCTCTTTGCGCTCTTTTTCCTCACGTTCTTTGCGTTCTTTCTCTTCACGTTCTATGCGTTCTTTCTCCTCACGTTCTTTGCGTTCTTTTTCTTCGCGCTCTTTACGTTCTTTTTCTTCACGCTCTTTACGTTCTTTTTCTTCGCGCTCTTTACGTTCTTTCTCTTCGCGTTCTTTTTCTTCTCGTTCTCTTCGTTCTTTTTCTTCCTGCTCTTTACGTTCTTTCTCTTCGCGTTCTTTTTCTTCTCGTTCTCTTCGTTCTTTTTCTTCCTTTTCTTTTCGCTCTTTTTCTTCTCGTTCTATGCGTTCCTTTTCTTCACGCTCACGTTGTTCTTTCTCCTCTTTTTCCTTTTTTTCCCGCTCTATTTTATCTTTTTCAGCAGGGTTAACAATCTTAATAGCTTTAGAATCTTTCTTATCATCAGTAAGTTGTTTTTCTTTCTCTTTATCCACATCGTCGAGTTTTTTAACATCATTAGCCGTGACAGTAGGTGTCTCATCTTTCTTTACGCTTGGGGCTGTAGACGAAGTTTGTGCTGGTACAACTACTGTAGTATTATCAACAGGATTAATTATTGGAATGGCACGACTTTTCGCACCACCAGATGGTGCCGTAAACTGAGAAACAGTTGTCTGTTGCGGTATGTGATGTTGTGGTATATTAGGTCGTTGAACAGCAGGCACATAAGATTGAGGAAGCGGTATTGGATAGAATGGTCCCGGTGTATATGGATATTGCGGCGGTAGCTATAATCCATAGTAATATTATGTTGGCAACAGAATAAATTATAAATCATAAAAACTCGAAAGCCAAAATTAAGTACACCTACACGCGAATAGGGCCACATTTGTTGCACGTTCATCGTCATTGTAGGTTGTGGTCCAGTTAACGGAATCCCGCCTTGCGGCGGAACTGTCGGCTGAGCAGGGCTTATTGTAGGAGAAGGTTGAACAGGTCCAGTTAACCCGGTTTTACTATCTCTTGGCCTTTGATGTTGATTGGGTACACCTTGACCAGATCCGGGCATTCCCCCGGGTTTATAATGTGGGTGTGGCCGACCATGAGGATGATGAGATCCATAACTCGAATGAGCGTGCTGATTTGTATGATTATGGTTAGTATGATGTGATTGCGGTTGGTGTGGATGAAAATGTTGGTTCTGTTGACCATCGTTGGATGATACTGTTGAAGACACAGAATCCTTACGATGATGCGGAGTGTTTGATGTTGAGGTAGATTGTTGATGTGGTGTAGCCGTGGGCAACTGTTGCGCCGCTTGTACTGGTTGAGTACGAGACGTTATATTAGACGACTGATGACCTGATGGTTGACCTACGTTTTTTACGTTATTTGAATCTTGGAGATTAAGCTGCGGAGGAGCAGATTGTGTTCGAGGAATTTCATTTATACGTGCAGCTACAGGCCTTGGTGTTGTAGTAGTAGTAGTAAAAGCACCAGGGCCACTAGTAACAACAGCTGGTGGTGTCGGCGTTGGTTGCACCTATAAATTTTAAGTCTATTAATCACGGCATATTTATATACTATGATCTTAAAAAACGAACGAATTCAATTATGTACCAATTCTTCGGAAGCACCTCGTGCAGGTAATGATCCAAACACCGTTTTGATTTCCGGTACTATCGGAGGAAGAGCACCCCCACTCTTTACAGGAATAGAGTTATTTACCGGAGAGGTAGACAAAGAAGGAGCAGAGGGCTTATTTAATGATCCAAATTGAATTGCAGTGACTACAAACATTTAATGAGCTCGATTCGTTAATATTAATAATAAAGTTTAATAAATCCCAATTTTATTTCAAGAGTTTGATCACTCAAAAAAAGTATATTCTCATTAAGAAATCTTGGAACAAGAACATTTTAGATATTCCAAAACCACATGTGCAAAAACACTCACCATTATTTTCTCGAGGTTGCCCCTTTGTTGGTAATTGTACTGGATTTTTTTGTTGAATAGCTTTGATCGTAGGCGCAGATCGCCCAGCGTTAGTGTTAGCGTTACCGTTGCCAATTACCGAGTTGTGTGGTGGCTGTGGCTTTTGATGTGAAGTAGAAGTTTTTCCGTTAACGGATGAAGTAGAATTATTTGAAGGTGTAGTGGCAGCGGTTTGCTGAATATGTGGTTGCTGCTGTTGTTGCTGCTGCTGGCTTTGATGTGAATTT